CCACCGCCAACTCTTGGACTACTCTTTTACCAACGAATAGTGGGATTGACCGTCACATTATAACGCCACCACGGCTGAAAGGAGAAAGTAATATCCCAAATCCTTTTTTTATCTACCACCAAGGCATACAGATAAACATATATTCATTTCGCCAGTATTCTTTAAATAATGGAATAAATTCATATATGGTTCAGTCTGAATGTCAAATATTCACTAAAATTGCTTCCTACCATTGGAATTCCTAGAATTATTACTGCTAAACTTTTCATTATGTTTCACAACTATTTAGCATGTGATAAAACTGAACAGAGTTATTAAATAGACTTGTATAATGAGTATTGCTTAACCTTATCATCTCGTTACACGTGTAGGATTACTATGGGCGCTACAAACTGACTAGTGAGGTGTTAAATCTCATACGGTGATGTTCTTATCGATTCCAAAGGTGTGCATTGGATTTAATAATGAACCTCTAGTGGCAACTTAACACTAATTGTTCTTTTTTTATTCAGTTCTTTATTTATTGGTACTCACAGTTCTGTTTGTTCAAAGAATAAATTTTGTATACACGTTTTGTTTTTGGTATACACAATACAAAAAAATTCTCAGTTATTTACTAACCCTTTAAGTTTTTTTGCTATCTCGAAAAAAGGCACAGACACTTAATATTTCTGCCAGAGTAATCGCAGTTTTCTCAGATGTTATAGAAATGGGGTCTGATAAATTCGAGATTAGGAAATATAACAAAAATGTTGCCTGAAACTGTTATTCTTGTTGCTATCAAGTGCTCAGAAGTATGTAAGCTGTGTTCCCCAGTGGCTCAGCGGTAAGTCTGCAGATTTATAACTATAAAAATAGGATTTTGATACCTGTGGTGGGCACAGATAGCCCATTGTGTAGCTTTGTGCTTATCTTTCAACAAACTAAATAAACAATTTCTTAAGCTGTTGTGTAGTTCGGAAGAGTAGTAGAGGGCGTTCATTGACGATACCTTATTATGGAAGATAATTTGCTTTTTAATGAAATAAAATAAAATATAAATACAAGAATTTAGCTCAAACGTTTAGTCATAGCAGCAAAAGTTCCTTAATATTTAAGGCTTGGGACTTGCGTGGTAGGAAAGTCATTCCTCCCTGGTGGGTGATATAAGTAGAATTTAATTGGAATCCCACCGACAGTCGGAGACTGCATGTAACGTTAGTTACCAATTTTTTCTTTTATATTCGAAAAGTTCAATCACAATAACCTTGATGTGGTGGGTTGTTATCATGATCACAAAAGCTCATTGTAATTGAAGAGAGAACGCCCAATTAAGGATTATTAAATGTAATATAGAGCAGTTCAACGCTAAAAGTCGTGTTTCGATACTCGCAGTGAGTAGAGCACAGATTGCCTGTTGTGTATCTTTGTGATTAATAAGAAACAGATATTTTCAATTTTTAGTTAAGCTATCGAAAAGCATTCTACGTATAAAAAATTTGAATTTTTATGTTCACATTTTGCATATGAGAAGGAGATAATTAAATAAAAACTTTCTGAACTTCTCAAGAGAAAAAGAGTTTTCAGGCTTCATCCTAAACATTAATTTCAAAATATTCTCTATAACTACTTCAGAAGAAGCCATTTATCTCCATTGTTTCACCAATAACTTTAGAGACGCTATTATTGTG